CGTGGCAATAGAGCGGGATCGGCTGCGAAAAGAGTTGTCGATACGTCTTGAGACGACGACTACCACGACGAGGGGACGGGAGAGATCAGGAATTAGGATTAGCCACTCCACTCTAGAGTCCCTTCATACTGAGAGTCAAGACAATGTGAATCCATTTCTGATTGGCTCCTGTATTTTAGGCCTTCACAGTGTCACAAACGGGAATGAAGATTACATTTTCACCAATGGAGAATTTGCACGCAATTTTTTTATTGCTTCATCTGAAAGTGCCTAATGAGCTGAGTTCGCAATATTTTTCATAATTTTTTTCTGACATGGGAAATTGGAGAAAAATTGATTTAAAAGTGAGAAAATGTGCCGCCTTGTGACGTCATCTGGCGGCATTTCCCATTTAAACACATGTATTTTAGCAGAATCGGTTATTTTGTCATATCTCCTCTAATAATTGCTCAATTTATGAATCAAGGGTATCTTCGTGTTCAGTTCACTCAGAGGATTCCACTTAAACAGGAAATTCATCAAATTTCAGACCCTTGCAAATTCTCCATTGCAAAGATTATAATCTGGAATGGACCAGGGAATTACGGGTTCGGCAAGGAACAAACGGAATGAGAGAAGGAACGGAGAAAGGAGTTTGAGAATGGGCCAATCAAAGATTACAGAAAACGTTCAATTTATGTCATCTTTATTCCCGCTTGTGACTCCATGAGGGGGTTTTGTCTTGACTCTCATAAAGGGACTCAAGGAGCTGCCAACGTGGCAATAGAGCGGGCTCGGCTGCGAAAAGAGTTGTCGATACGTCTTGAGACGACTACTACCACGACGACGGGGACGGGAGAGATCAGGAATTAGGATTAGCCACTCCACTCGCGCTTGTATCGGCATCGGCCGTGGCGCCCCGCGGATCGCATCGCTGCGGTAATGTTGTGATGATGAGACCGGGACCGGGACTCGGCGCACACATCTGCCCCCCGCCCCGCCCGCCGGCCGCGCGCTCTTCCGTCAGCCGCGAGGGGGTGTGAGCCGGGCCCCGGGGAGGCGGGCCGGGGGCGGGGGGAACAGCTGTTGTGGTGAAATTAGACTGTGATGCGAGAACAATCGAAGCTGGGCTGCCCGCTCCCGGTCCCGTTCGTTTCTGCCGACTCCGACTCCGCGTCCGCCTTTATTTCCAGCCGAGCTTTCTACCGCTCCGGAGAGCTCACAGACTCCTGCTTCGAGCCCCGAGAGTAATGAGACGGTGAGCTAGGACCAATCTCCACACTGGAAAAAAAGTCGCGTGGATCTAGACTCCAGACTCTTGAAAACAGAGACAAGAAAAAATACTCTCGATTCAATCGGATTTTCGCTTGAATCAAAAGGAAATCCGCTTAAATTAGTTTGATTCAAGCAAAAATCCGATTGAATCGAGAGGATTTTTTCTTGTCAATGTTTTCAAGAGTCTGGACTCCAGATCCAACGTGTTTTTTTTTTTTTTTTTTTTTTTTTTTTTTTTTTTTTTTTTTTTTTTTTTTTTTTTTTTTCCAGTGTGTCTACTAAAACAGGCTGGTCAAAATTCTGTACTTTTTCGGTGCATTCTCAAGAAATTCAACAACTCCTCCGACAGAAAAATTCCGTATTTTTTCAGTACTTCCATTCGATGAAATTGGAAAAATTTAAACAATTTGAAATTGCGACAAAAATGACGACAAATTTAAAAAAATTCCGGACCTTTTTGCGGAATTAAGAGGCTTGGCTCTCGATCTGAGCAAAAATCCGAGTGAATCAAGAGTATTTTTTCTTTTCATTGTCTTCAAGAGTCTGGACTCTAGATCCAAGCGTCTTTTTTCCCCAGTGCAGTCGTTTTTTCAAAAGGCCAGACCTTAGAATACTGCCGTGTTTAGGAAAAACCCCGTATGAGCCTTCAAGTGTTGCCAAATTTCCTTTGATAAATCACTAATTTTCAAGGATATTTGTGAAAATTTTGGACGAAAATTGCATCGGTACACTCTTGTGAAAAATTGAATTGTTTGAGTCATTTTTGCAGCTTTCGAATGGAGTTACGCATCCGCGTCCAGTTCATTGTTGGAATGGGTGACAGATTAAACGAATTCCAATTTATCCTCGCTGAAAGTAACGAAATTTCATTCAAAATATTGGGGAAATAACAGGGAAATCAAAAATGATATTTTAGTAGACACCCTGACAGATGTCCTCCATCTATCATTACACTTTGAAATTATATTATGTGTCGGATTACTACTTTTTTCGTCATTCTATTCTCACTAATTTTTCTCGTGGCATTCATAACCAACCGTACATGCAATTTTCTGATTGTCCTCGAAACTAAAATTTCGACTAATTAATGGGGGTGGAAAGTTGAAAGACCAGAAATGTAGAGGGAAGGAGACGAATCATTAATCCCGATGAAGGATCGGGCTTCTTCGGAGAGGGCTTGATTGGCACATTAGTGTTTTCAACCTGCTGAGTCCGACCTGGACCCCGTTTCCCGCGCTCTCGCTCCCTCCCCCCGCACTTGCATCTCATCCAACTTCTCGCAGCTGCCCACGATGAGCAGGAGCCAGGGTGCTGCAGGTGTTGTAAGGGTTTTCTATGCAATGAATTTTAGAATTCTGCATAAGTCAAGTGTTTCGACCGCAGCCCTGGCTCTTGAAAATACTGATGAAGCAGAGGATTTCCACTACCAAAGGCAAATACATAAACAGGGTGTCTAGCATCAGGATTTTCCCGTTTTTCCGATTCTCTTAGGATTTGAGGTCAATCAGGATTTAATCCCGATTTCATCAGGATTTAATCCCGATTTCATCAGGATTTAATCCCGATTTCATCAGGATTTGGGGAAAAATCGGTCGTTTAGGTAATCAGGATTTGAGAAAATTCGGTCGTCCGATCTGATTTTTTTATCGAACTATTCTTGAAGTTACATTCGCTAATTTTTCTCACAATTTTTCTCCACAAAAAAAATCAGGATTTGAAGAAATCATGAAATCAGGATTTATCAGTCAAAATCAGGATTTCATCAGAATTTTCTAATATGAAAAAAACTAGGTATCCTGTTAAAGTCGATCTTAAATAATTGTCGATGGCCACAATGCAAAACCACGTATTTCCTTGGTGATTTTTCAAAATTTCACTCCTGCTTTATTTTTTCCGGGAGAAACAAGCTGAACGTATAGCTTGAAAGTATACAGAATATTCTGGAGTGCCGCGAAAGAAACAAGGAGCTTTTTGACTCTTTATCGCCGCATTATCGAAGCCTCAACCGCATATTGTGCGAAAACAGTGAAAGTAATAAGTAAAATAAAAACTAAAAAAATTACACGAAAATTACTATTTTTACTCGCAATTCGATGTGCGGAATGATAATTCTCTCACTCGTTTTGTATGATGGACGTTTTCGAGGGATTTTCATCTATGACCGAGCAAATGTGTCTCGTTGAAGTTCTCGCCCAGAGGATTAAATTGCTGTATGCATCATGTCAGCGCATTTTAATTAGAGATTAATTGCATACACTGCGTGCCGCAATGAGAGTGCTTTTTTCTGTGGACCGAGAAGTGGACAGTTAGTGACTGTGTCAGGAACATTTTTTGTCCGTAAAGTTTTAATCATTTGAAAACATACGCAAGGAAAGTTGGCAAGTTCGGGAGATTGTTTCTTTATTAAAGTCAGGTTTTCTTTTGTACATCGTTTCCTAGGGCCGCAATATCTCTCGGAAAAAACGCCTAAAAACCTTGTGTATAAAAAAATCCTTTCCTAGGGAAACCTGATTACCCAGGACCAGGAAAAATAACGTACGCGGGAATCTACGAAAAATTTGTCACCAACTATATGCTTATTGCGCGCTAAGTAGTATTTTTTATATTTATCGATGTTCCCACCCTTATTTTTGTTAGATTTTAGCTTGGAAAAGTCTATTTACTTATAGTTGTATACTTATCATAAAACAGACTCATACATTCCTGTGATTTTGCAAACATCGATTACCATACCGCCGTGCCAAGGAAAAACGCCGTATGAACCTTTGGACGCTGCCAAGTTTCCTTCGATGAAAACCGACTTTTTTTTAGGAAAATCGTGACTAATTTTCTTTCAACATTTTCAAACAATTTAAAACAATTTAATCTAAAATATCTGAAAATTTCAAGGAAAAATATGCACGAATTTCGTTGTAAATTCATGTTTTATCAAGGGCAATTTGGCAACTCTCTAATGCTCATACGGCGTTCTTCTTTTTAGTACGGCATCATTCTTTCCCCATCCCCTTCTTAATGCGTCAAGTGTGAGTGTGTTCAGTTTGACCTCAGATTGATCAAAGCCTTGCGCCGCACACTGGATCGAGTCAATGAGAGATGTCGGACAAAATTTGGAAACTTTAAAAGCTCAAAACTCCGATAAATCAAAATTTTGAGATTTTAAAAATGATTTCATTGGTTTCCTCGTGAAATTTTCCTCCAGATACACCCCTCAAAATTTGAAATATGACGAAGTAAAAATCAAAATTTGCAGTTTTCGTCAAAAATTTCATGTCCGACCTCCACCGTTGACCCGATCCACTGTGCGCCGCAGCCGGCATCACTGGGATGTTCCGAGTGTGTCATGCTCCTTAAGTTCTTAAGCTTCCTTGTTCAACTTGACGCCAACTTTTCATCGCGTTCCGCTGCGTGGCGTGGCGCGGCGGACATTTCGCCTCGGGGAGGTTGAGGAGTGGAATTTAAAGAAATCAAGACTCACTTTGAAACCGCCTTGACTTGAACCCTCAACTTGAGTGCTTGAAAGGCATTAAAATCCAGGTACTCGAGGTTTTAAGGAGATTTTTAAGTCAATTAATTTTCAATGACCGTCTGAAAATTTAATTTAATTTTTAAAGAAGCCATAGCTTTTTCCCAGTGTATAACTCCGCATAACGTTGGCTAAGACCCTGCCTCACTCGATTGCATCGTTCAGATTGTCAGACGTGCTCCAAAATTTACGTTGTTTTGGCACTTCTGGCATTGCACTTAAGGGGACGCGAAAGCTCTGCGCGCAGATGATTCCGTGAAAATCCCGGACCCGGGCATGGGGATGAGGAGCAACACGGGAGGCTTCGGCTCCAGGATGGAGCACCTAGCACTCCCAGCCCAGCAGCCACCACTCTGCACCCACCCTCAGCAGTCGCTTGCTCACTACCGCCATCGCCGTGCAGCGAGCATCCCGCGAACCTTGAGTGCCAATTCAGCCTCGATATGCTTCAATGCTTCGTCCACGTTGCCAAATAGACGTAAGGATCTCGTTGTCAGTTTTGACGACGAGTCGCATCGTTGGTCCTGTGGTTGTAAATTGTTCCAGGAGGGGGAGGAACTCGAGTCTTCACTCATCGAGCAGTGTAGAGTACCCTCACCCGAGACAAGGAGAGACCCTTTAACTAACCTCTCGGTCGCAGGTGAAAACTCTTACTTTCGTGGATTTAACATTTTCTTCTGCAAGGGCGCACCGCAATTTCCACGAGAGCTGTGTTCTCTGTTTACCTCTTTGTATTCTGTGGCTCATCTTGAAGTAGAGATACCCCTAACGTCAGAGGAGCGACGAATAGAGATGTTGCATGTGTGAGGAATTCGCGATTTGACTGTTGATTCTTATGTAAAAGTTCGCGAGAAACACGATGGTGCCACTGGTTTTCTCTGAATTCAACTCCCAAGCTCAAAAAAAGCTCTCAAGTTGAGGCCAAAATGGAGGGGATATCCCACGCTATCCTGAGAGCCCACCTCTACATCAAGACGAACTCTCCATGCAAAGATAGGGAGCAAATACATTGACAGAGCTGCCACTTTATTTGGGGCCTCTAAAATTGAAAAGACAGCAACACTGCTAATGTATTTGCTCCCTATCTTTGCATGGAGAGTTTGTCTTGATGTAGAGATGGACTCTCAGGGTAGCGTGGGATATCCCCTCCATTTTGGCCTCAAATTGAGAGCTTTTTCTGAGCTTGGGAGTTGATTTCAGAGAAAACCAGTGGCACCATCGTGTTTCTCGCGAACTTTAACATATGAATCAACTGTCAAATCGCAAATTCCTCACATATGCAACATCTCCATTATGAGATAGCAGCAATCGTCACCCTTGTGTTGATTGTTGTAGATAGCTGATGAGCTTAGGGTAACGTAATGTGCCTAACAAGTTCAGCTAATTTCGGTTTGTTTGCTGAACGAAATACTCATCTCTTCTTTGAACATGATCTCCTAGTAGGTAGTTCAATAGTTGAATATTCCGAGTCGAGTTCCGAAAACGAAAGCCTCAACGATTGCGCGTTCCAATCATTCGACCAATGGGAGCGTGTCTCCTTGTCTCTGACCCTTACAGTGAGAGAATGAACCCTGGAGCATGCTGGATCCATCTCTTATTGGCTCAGCTATCTTAAGAGCCATGAGCCTCTCAGGATCAAAAAATATGGTGGAAGTCGCTTAGTGCTAATTCAGAGTAACAGGAAAAGAGGTTTAATTACCTTGTCTCATCCTAAACTTGTCTTAAATTGCACAGTTAAGTGCACCGGGCAACTAAAACAGTGCAAGATTCTCGTATCGAATTGGGTCACAATTATTCTTCGATTTGAGGGTATCATTCATCATTTTGTGATTTTCTCTGAAATCATATCGAATTGTATTTTTAAAAATGGTGCTAATGAGTTTTTATTTTTTTGTTTTGTTGCAGGTAAGCAAAACTTCTTCATGTTTAACCCGTTCTCCTCAGCCTCACTTAGCGATTGTAGGTAATGTATTCTGAAGTATATTTTCCCTCCAAAATGAACATTATTCTTGAGGTGATGCGGTTTAACTGATTTTTTGCTCCACAAGTTTCTCGTCAACCATCATTCAGCGACAAATGGGTTGACCTCGGAATTTAACTTTTATGCTTCACTCAATTGAATCGCTTTGATTGTTAGTCAGTGGCGATTTTGCAAGTTGGCAACACGGGTATTCACCATTTAACTCCATTAAAAATATCGATTTAAGGTTAGGAAAAGTGCCTCTTCAAGAATCGATTGTTTTACGTGCATCTAAATGGAAATAAAACAGTGTTGCCAATTTTCAATAATAGCCTATGTTGTTTGTGCGGGATCTCTGAAGTATCGCCTGTGTGATATGTTTCGCACCCTCCATCTGGGCTCGGTTCTTAAATATTTCATTCTCCCCAGTCAACATTAAACAAGTGGCTTTTTTGGATGATGAAACCTGGAGTCTCTTGCCATTAAGCCAAGAAAGAACACCCCACGAACATTCGAGAGTTGCCAAGTTTCGTCGTTTATTTTTGAGTTAGGTTATGAACACTCTTCCTTCAAATAAAAAATTCAGGTGAAATTGCGAACAACATTATCTGAAAAATCGGAGGATACATTTCGTAAGTTTCCTAGGAAATTCGTGTTTAATCAATCAAAAGTTCGCAATGCCTGAAGGTTTTCAGGGTGTCTAGCATCAGGACTTTCCCGATTCCATCTGGATTTGAGGTCAATCAGGATTTAATCCCGATTTCATCAGGATTTGGGGAAAAATCGGTCGTCAAATCAGAATTTGAGAAAATTCGGTCGTTCGATATGATTTTTTTATCGAGCCATTCTTGTGTAGTTACATTCGCTAATTTTTCTCCACGAAAAGTCAGGAATTGGAAAAATTATGAAATCAGGATTTAACAGTCAAAAATCGGGATTTCCTAAAATGAAAAAACTAGACACCCTGTATATACGACGTTTTTCCTTAGCATGGCAGAACAAAGAAGGGATGGCGAGACCTCGCCACGAGCCACGAGTCCCTCTCCCTCATAATGGACCACTAGACAAGGCACGAATTCAAGCATTCTGATACATGTTTCTTAATCCAAATTTCATGTAGAACACGATTCGCGCAACGAAAATTACTGAAACTAACTCCTGACGAAGATATTAACCTTTTTATTTCACATTGGTTACGCGGAATTTGAACTGCCCGCTCACAAGAAACTCAAAGCTCTACGTGAGTCAAATCGCCCACTACAACAGTTTCAGCAAGCCTCTCAATCGAGCACTGTTCATTTCCCACCATGTGTTGTTCAAATTATAAGCAATTTGCTATAACTGAGCCAAAGCGTCAAAATTGTGGTTGCCAGATTTTCATATCGCAGAGACTGTCACGATAATATTCAACGCGCGATGTGAATCACGTGGAGCATTGAGTTTTATTGAGCGGGTGGTTTGAATTCACGCATCAGGAATCATTAAATATTTTCGTAAGGAGTTGATTTCGGTAATTTTTGTTGTGCGCATCGTGTTTTACGTGCAATTTTGGTTTAAAAACATGTATCAGAATGCTTAAATTCGTACCTTGTCTAGTGGTCCATTGTTCGGGAATTATTTCGCAAGCCGTAAAGCACGCGCGACGCGCGAAGAAATTTAAAAAATGAGCGTGTCATTGCGGATGGTCGAGAGCGACGGATCCGCTCGGGCAAGGGCTCCCAATCCATTTCTCAGGGATTTTTAAGCGACGCAATGACGGCGGCTGTCGCCCGAAGCTCCCCGAGCTTGTAAGCACTCGGCGGCGAAAGGTTAAATTTAATCGGTGCGTTTGTCTCGCGCTTCCATCTCCGTCCAATCACGTCCGGTGCCAAAGCCGTCGTCGCACTAGAGCGTCGCCACTTTCCGTGAAAAAGCGAGACCATTCGCTCCCGCTTCGACCAATTTTACATTTGATTAATTCCTCGGCGAAGGACTTACGAGTTTCGCGATGCTGCTGACATCGTGCGAAATAAGTGTATTATTTTCTGCAACCGACCTATATTTGAGGGACTTAAAAGACGAGGCGCATACGTGCAGTTTTTGCTATTTCGAGAAATACGTGTTTGAAGTTTCGAAATTACACTGGATAAAAAAAAACACATTGGATCTAGAGTCCAGACTCTTGAAAACATTGACAAGAAAAAGGAATCTCGAATCAATCAGATTTAAGCTTAAATCAAAAGAAAATCCGCTCAAATTGAGAGGCTTGGTTCTTGATTTAAGCTTAAATCTGATTGAATCAAGAGTGTCTTTTCTTGTCGATGTTTCTAAGAGTCTGGACTCCAGATCCAATGTGTTTTTTTTCCAGTGTACATGGATCCTTTTGGCAGGAAGAAAGTACAAACTGACTTTTTGATACTTAAAAATTGGAATTTGGGAGCGAATTTTTCACAGACCATGCATGAAGACTAGTTTTACTTTACATCATTAATAACTCGATTTTTTCAAAACCTTCACTTATGCGCCCTGTCCTCCAAGCCCCTCTCTTGAAAGCTCCGCTATGATTTTTTGCGCTCTACGTGTGCGCTAGGTATTTTTTCTCCGTTTGTATCACAGTTAATGGAGTAACTTGGATGTTAGTGTGATTGTTTTGCTCCATGTTTCGTGTGAAAAAGTATCATTCTTGCTATGCATTTCAAGGTTCATCGACCCTATCACTGTGAAATGGGTGTTTTCCTCACATGAGAGACACAGCCACATAAACGGGTGAAATTGCACAAAAAACACGTGATGATTTTTATTGATCAGACTAAAAAACCGTAATCGTCAAAGTTCACGGATAATTTGCTGCAATTCCATTTTCTTTACGTTATTGAAGGCTTTTGGCATGGAGTTCATAGGAATATTTATTCTTTTTCAATAAGCAGACTAATCGATTCGAAAAAAATAGATCACAACTCTCAATACCAGCATGGTTGGTATACGCGTGGCTGTGTTTTAAAACCTATCATACCTACTTGGTTTTTTTTCTTTTCTTAAAAATTGTTAAATCTTTAAGTATCCATGAATCTTGGAAAATTGTAAATCAGTTCTTGTAGTTCCTTGAATTTTATATAATCTTACTATTTTACTTTTATTAATCTTACTATATTACTTTATATAATCTTACTATATTTTTATACGACCCTTCACAAAATTAAAATACTTTTCTTCTGCTGCAGAAACTTATAACAGGTCAAATGTCGTCACTGTAGGTATAGTAGAAAACAGGAGGAAAGAAAAGTAATATTGATTTTTTTTTTTCGCACAGATTTGAAAATACTTCTAAAATGTTAAAAGTCTGAAAAATCCTTGAAACTCACTTGCAAAGCATTCTTAGGAGCCTGTGCTAATTCTTGTAAACACGAATGCACTCGAAAATCCTTGCAGAAGTTCCTGAAAGGTCCAAACACGGTGCAATCGGTGTCAAACTCATATCAGCGCCTGCAAGACTGCAGGAATACTTCATGCATTGCGCCAAACAGTGCGGTCGGAGTCGAACGCATGCTAGCGCCTACAAGACTGCATGAATACTTCTCGAATTGCACGAAACGCAATGCGTCGGTTATAATTTGCGCATCATAACGTAATAATATAATCGGGTACTTTTCAGGGAAAAGAATTGCCTTTTAGTTGAACATAGTTGAACATTCTTGTCTTATCGCACCTCAATCCAATACAAGTTTCCGTCTAATAGAAATCGAAAAGCTAGCTCCACTGACTCGGTTATTTCAAGTGATATGTTTCTTGATAAATGGTGTAAAGTTATTTTATATGAGAGTAACGGTTACAAAGCCAACCAGTTCGAAGTCCGTTAATCAATTTGGTGTTTTCGTCTTCATATATGTTTTGCTCGATGTGATATTTTTTTGGAGCTAATTGCAAGCTGTTGAAATGACTTTTCCTGAAGTTAGCTATCTTTCACGCAAAACTCTGCGATGAGTGTAGTTATTAACCATTTATGTAACATGTTCGCGAAAAAATCAGAATGAAAAATTTGAATTGTAGCCAATAAAATGAATTCATTGTCCTGAAGCGTTTCGAGGCCTTGGAGAAAGTCATATTTTACCGGTATTCTATTTTTACCAAATCTACATTTAGTTTTAAGATTTGTGACTAAATTTTTTCCCTCGTTCAAGATTCTAACAAACAAAAACAACTACTTCTGTGTAAACCAAAAAACCTGCTCTCAAACTCTTGCTCGTACAAGTTGTTTGACTTGTGTAGTCTGAATGAGGTACAGAAGTAAAGTTATAGTTTAATCAACCAATCTCTGGGTTTTTAAACTAAAACTAGACTTTTTAATCCAACCGAACCGAAAAAGCAAGCGCGTTGCACGATTCGGAAGATTGTTTCGATAAACGACTTCGAAACGGTTAATCGACATCGAACTCTAAAACGTCACTGGGACGAAACTTTTCTTTCAGTTCGAGTAAACACTTGACATCATCGTCAACAAAACCGTCCATTGCGTTAAAAAACCTCCAAAATTCAATGCCGAACTTGGTTCTATCAAAACTAAAAAATTATCAGGTTGCACGTGACAGCAAAAGATTCAGGAGGAGCAGAAAATAAGGATACCGGTCGATCGCGTAAACGATGATGTTTCTTGCGCCCTCAGCGATGCGACGATGGAGACGCTTAAAATTAATTCCACGCGCTGTTAATCTTGTCGGATAATATCTTCTGCCCTTAGCCTCAACGTTGGCGTTACCCAACTGGTTAATTACACGGCATTAAAACTAAAATTGTACCCAAGACCTGTTAAAACGTCTAAGTATTTATTAACAGATTGCATTGCTCTTTAAATAACTTACAGGTAATTTTCATGAAAAGCACTTATTTCTCTGTCACATTAGATATTTCCTCATCCTAAGTTTAAGTATATAAAACGCCATGGATAATCTTTAAAGTTCCAAATTCAACTTTAAAGTTAGAACTAAGCGTTTTGCATCCCCTTAAAATCAAACGCGGCCCTCGTCATAGCAC